AACATTAATCCCATTGTTGCGTTTCCTTCATAACTTGGCAGCAGTGGGATCTCTAGCAGCTGATGCGGCTTTGTTAATGTGCTCAAACACGCTTTCATAAACCGTCGCGTTACAGCAACAAGTTTCTTGACTCTTCATGGTCTGTTGTGGAAGCCTATGCTAGCGCTGTGCATCTCCAGTTACAAAACATTGTATTCACTTTTCTCTAGCGTTTCTYAGCAATTCAGTTGTTGCGAAAGGCGCTCACACACTGAACCCCGATTTATTTCTCTTGCAAATTTACGTTTTCACAACAACCGATTTTCCTACAGCAATTCCATTAGTTTGATCAATATTGCTTTTTCACTGTTGTTGTCGATTGCATTGCTGCCCCAGGTGGATAGTTGCATTTTCAGCATCACTTAGCTGTTGAAAAGGAGGTTTGGTAAAAAAGTTGTGTTTCTGATGTTGAGATAACATTGCATCTAATTGCCCAAGTAGGCGATCGTGTTCTACGCTCCAGCGAATTCAACTGGTGGAAATTTTACAGTATGTATTTTTGGCGAAAGCTTGGTCAGCTCTGGGCCACGAACGGCACAAGCGCTATCTTAAAAGCGTTTTAACCCAACATCGATCGCAAGATATGTAGTAATCTCTTTGCCCTCAGTAAGACTATGCTSTCCCTATTTTTGGAGCTTTTAACAGGCCATTGTCCAATTGGTGTCAATGCAGTAAGGCTGCGAATTCTAACAGACGCCATCGGCAGAAGCTGTATGGAAGAAGGTGAGGTGGAAACAGCTCAACCCTTCCTTCTTGACTCTCCCGCGCTTGGGTGGTTATAGTTCGAACACAGGAGTAGTTCTTTTCTGTGGCCTCACAAAGGAGCCCGCGTGCGGTCTTTGATCAATCATCTAGCCTAACCTAACCTATATTTGGTATATATCAGTATTCGGCTTTAGTATACGACCATTCTGTAACTATAAACAGATTATACCGTTAGCATATTTTCATTATACCTGTCAACTAATTGGTTGTTTGCTTCAATGGACAACAACTGCTCACCTCATATAAAGCAATGCAAGACAGCACAAATAAAAGACAAGGGTCACTATTTCATGTGCTGTAAGACCCTCTTTCCCACAAGTCTATACCGCACAAATTATGGTTTAAATTTTCATTGAGGTATGCCATATTGCAGTATGCATTTGGCTGTTCACTCGCATTATCTAATCTCCCAAATATCGGTAGTTGATTGGTGTAACTTTTAGTTTGTCACCGGTTTGTCTTGCCGCCTCGAGATGCCCACACTGCCAACGCATTGTTACAAAATCGTCCCAATTCATCCCAACACTTTGTGATCATTAAATATTATAATTACCTTCCACTCTTTCCCAGCTGCTTCTCTCTCCTCCAATGGCTTTGCTTTTCTCCCTCGCACACACATACAGGCAAAGAAGGTGTTTCTGTTGTTAACAGAGTATATGGTAAATAAAAGTGTTGCGTTACTTAAATTATGCTAATCATTCAATTTTCTCAACATCACTTGTTGTTGTTGTTGTTATTCATTGAAATCGAAGCCAGTTTCTTGGCCTATATATTAACAACTTATCAGCTCGAGTGTTAATTCGGTTTTATTTCTTTCGTTTCGGCGTATTCAAGGTCATATTTACCAAATACGTTTTCGTCTCTTTCTTTGTAGCAGGTTTCGCATTGCGTGCCATAAACGAAAGTGGCGTTTAGAAATATAAACACACATAAATTAGATGCCAAAGCAGTGATTTGAAAGCGTTGATAGCCATCTTCAATCATTTCCTCTATCTCTTCATCGGTGGCAAAATGGACAGAAGCCATTAATTTGAGTGCCGTATTTCTTCACTTTGACGGCGACGGTGGACGCTCGATTTGCCAGGTAGCCTCAAGGCGCGAACATACGAAAACCGATCAAGCACAAGCGAATCGCGGAAGCTAAAGACACCTGAATGGGCTTGATTGGGCTCCCACTTCTTTGCCTTTGACGAAATCGAAACTTTCATCTGAGCGAATTTATTAAAGTCAAATTGTTTCGGTCGTCTTCGGTTGAAATAAATTACATAACATTTTTTGTAAAAAGTTCGSTATTAATGCATATATTCTTCAATCTCATTGAGGGTCTTCAATCAAGCTGTTTTTTGTTGTTAAGTTCAAATGTCGCAAACTAACGGTTATTAAGACTCACACAATAAATAATAGGTCAAGTAAATTAATATTTCCACAACTCTAAGATAATAGGGTCTTAACGATTTGTGTCATTTGTGAAAACATGTTCGCATATCTAATTTATCGCCGCACTTTAACACCGAAAATATTCGCCAAAAGGGATTACATCAAACGTGTTTACGTGCAAAGCTGTGAAAAAAGTACGTGCTACTTTATGTTTATTAACTTTAAGTATGTAAACTGAAGTGCAATATTATTACCAGCATATGCATATACACGCTGGCATATACATGCATATGCATACAATTGCACACACACATTTACATGTACAGCTGCAAAGGCATATATACTCGCAGTATGAACGCGAGGCGAATTGGCTGTTTGGGCTTATGGGCAACTGATTTTGTGTTTATCAATGAAATTGCAAGTGTATCAAACAAAAATGAAAAAAAATATTCAAAAACTCCGTTATGCGATTATATTAGGTTGTCAAAAAAKTCTTGCGGTATTTTGCTAGTTGGTGCTGAGAGCGCGTARTTCTAGTTTTATTCGTCGCATCGGGTCATGCTATACCTTTTTGGAAAGCTCATTTCACGTGCTAACACATGTTTGATTGATTTTCGTTTCTTTTAAGTCGTTTGTGAGTTATAGCGTCGCAAAYATGGAGCAAAATAAAGAGAAAATACGGCATATTTTACAGTACTACTACGATAAAGGCAAAAATGCATCTCAAGCCGCCAATAAAATTTGTGCAGTTTATGGGCCTGATGCAGTTTCCGTTTCCACCGCACAACGATGGTTTCAAATGGATTAATTGATGGAACAGTTACCGCGGAAACCTTYTAGTGTGTAGTTTTCATATGCCGAGAGTATTCTTCCTTCTTGCTATCCCTTTTAAATCTCAATGATTTTTATATTTTTGCAACCTGTGGCTACAGAGTACATATTATTGTTTTGTTCACCTAACGGTTCCACGTATCACCTAAAACTAATCGAGATTTAAGGTTATACATATATATATAAATAACCAGGATGAAGAGACGAGTTGAAATTCGGGTGACTATCTGTTTGTTGGTCCGYCCGTGCCAGCTGTAACTTGGGTAAAAATYGAGATATCTTGACGAAAATTGATATGCGGGTTTCCTAGTACAAAGAAAATTTCAAGTTCGTATATGGGCGTAATCGGACCACTGCCATGACCACAAATCGCCATTAACCGAATTCCAATAAARTGCCATAACTAAAAACTAAATTAAGTACACACAGGGGATCGCAGCAGCTACTCACCTCCCATACTTGTATAACGGTACTGTTSAAAACTACTAAAAGCGCAATACGACAATAACTAATTACGCCAGAGTCATTAAATGTTAACTCCGAGGTGGTATAAGAGGGGTCTATGGAAGCCACAAGGAAAATTTGACGATGGGCGTGGTACCGCCTACTTTTTGKTGAAATTACTTGTCTAGGAACCCAACCAAGCGATTTCAACTAATTTCAGTCGTAACACTCTTCTCATATTTCTATGTCATAGTGCCAAAATGAGCGAAATCGGACTTGGAAACACGTCTATTTCCCAGGTAACAAAATTCTTTGGATTCCGTTTGATTCTTTCCCCACCCAGTACACAAATGATGAAGTAATTAATATAACCGCATCAAATTGTGAACTAATCCTTCCCTTAAAGTATGCCTCTTTATGACCGAAAAATTCTCAAATCCAACTAAAACTGTCCAAGCTGAACCCCGGTACCTATAGGTTACTTTCGACCAAAAATATCGGTCAATGTATGGGATATACAATTGAAATCAGAGAGTATCTTCTCCTGTAATTCTGTGCATCATAAATTGGTTGATCCATGTGATTGGTAATTATATGTGAGGTATCTTAATGAAACCCAGAGAACAAGTTTTTAGCATGTGGCATGGTAATAGTTAATAGATATAATATAATCCGGTCGATGCTACCCAAACTGCCATATACAGTACTACGCATAATGATTTTCCTTTTTTGTCCGCGATGGACTCCGAAACTACTGAACCAATGTAAATAAAATTGAGCACAACTTAAAATTTAGAACCCACTTAGAAGATGGGATAGAAAAACAAGTCATAGTGAAAGCTCTATTAAATGGACGCTCTATTAAGCGGACAACTCTATTAATCGGAGAGACATTAATTTCGTTATTTTTTACAATGAAATTTATTCTTATAAACATATTCAAAATTCAACCTCAAGCACAATATATTGGATTCTTATACCGACTAAAACGTTTTCGCCTTTATTCTTTTTATTTGTCTTTATTGTATAACTAATAGCATAAAATGTATATCACAGCAACACGTGGCCGGATCCACTAGTATACATATAAATTATTGGGATTCCGATACTCTGGTCGACGTTTTACTTCTTAAGTTAGTTTTCGGACTCTTAAAATGTGCGGTTGCACCAGAAAAGTAGAAAAGCCCAGGCTGTACCGAAGCTAATGATTTTATATCACAGGTTCAAACTTAAAAAATTATATTCATCAAAAGTACCATAACTACAAATATAAGAAATTTTCATATGACATTTTCATACATTATCTATATTTTTCTTTTTTGCAAATTGAAAAAATATTCAAATTCATATCAAAATATGTACGATAAAGATACCGTAGGAAAAATTATTCAAGTTTGCAGAGCAATTTTTAATAACATACTCTCTTATATTAAGAGATCACTGTAACTGTGTAGGAAGAAATTCTATCGAAATGAATGTTTGTTTAGAAATATATCTAAGAAGATATTATTACTTTGCTCCTTTGGTAGTCTTCGTAAAAAACCTACCATACCTACCTACCATATTCGTAATATTTTGTGATTAGGTATAAAAAAAACAGCAAACATCTGATCTCCGTCACTTAAGTACAGCATTGGCCTTCTAAATTCAACATAGAATTTCATTTCATTCGTTAAATGAACGGTACCSAAATAATTAGGTTATCAGCAACTGTTGAGCAATTCTTTATTGTTGATGTTCACCATGTATAGAGTAAGCTGATAATCGCCATATCGGTGTGCCAAAAGAAATTCGCTACAGTGAATTGCCAACCAATCGTGCAGTCCAAGACCTGCGTGCAATCTAATCGCACAAGAGACCCACTTTAGCTCCATACGAATTTAGCGCGAACACAGAGCGCACACGAAACGATGGAATCGATTTCAATTTTCCTATTCGCAGCGGCAATCATAGTAAGACGTCTAAACGACAAGCGCTAAATTGAGTCCTCTTTTAATTTCACGTATTTTGATTACTTCCCAGTCTCCTGCGGTGGCGGTTATCCAACCCAATGYCGTGGAAATTCGTATACTTTCCGATTGTCTTCAGAGTTATGGCGGTATAACGGAGGAGAACTCGAAGCGTTTGGTGCGTTTTAAGGACTGGTCGGAAACGTATGAAGAGATACCATGCTTTACAAAATGCTACATCAAGAATATGTTTAACATGTTCGACGAGTCTGTGGGATTCAACGATGAGCAGGTGATCAAGCAGTTCGGACAGCCGCTCCACAAGGCATGCAAACATCGTATGGAACCTGCGGCAGACAGTTGTCAGCAGGCATATAATGGATTCCATTGCCTCGTCAATGTGAGTTGTGATTATTCAAGCGTATACTTATAACTTATGGTCATTTTTATTCCACCTTTCTCATTGCAGTTGGAGGATGACCCTTTCGTGATAATCGAGAGCATGAAAAATGTCAGCACCGAGGCGAAAACCGCCATGAAGGACTGTCTGCATCGTTTTGATCAGTATGAATGGGAGCGCGTCAAAGACTACTCCAAAAATCCGGTGCGCGAACCCATACCTTGCTTCACGAAATGCTTCATCGAACAMCTSCAACTTTATAGYCAACAAACTCGCCAGTGGAACATACCGGCGCTAACGGCMAAATTGGGGGTGCCTGCCGCGGGAGCAAATATACAACATTGCCTGAAGCAGAGACGCAACCGCAATGCTTGTGTGTGGATGTATCAGGAGTTCACTTGTTTTGTCTTGGCTCACGATTAACAACCGATTCTATATAAGCCAAGCTGTTAGTAAAATATTTTTGAAAAGTAAGAGTGCATTTATCTTCTAATCAGTCCGATTCTTATATAACTTAGAAACACTAATCAGTCTTCAAGCGAATAAAACTGTGAATGAACTCGCCTCAACCGAGTCAATGTATTTTGTTGGCCTCAAAATCGTAAATGTTGTTCTTTTTTAAAGAAATATATATTCATATATGTATGTGTGTGTATGTGTGTATTTGAATTGATGTTTTGAAAGAGGARCATACGCCTAGTCTCAATTGCCTATCAGTTGGGTTCCAATCCATTAGCATTTTCAAGGCAACCCATTCGGTAAGGGCATCGAGAAAGCTGGCGCAGCAGACAAGCACACAGAAAGCTAACCCAGCAGCGTTTCGATGATAATCCATAGCTCCACTTTATATAATATATATTTAAATAGTTCTAGAATATAATTATCATATTCAATTTTGATAAATTTCCTTTCCTCCTTTAAATCGGCCGCCTCTTGCATATATTCTCTTAGGGTTTTATAAAATGGTGAAATTATCTTTAAAATAATAATATAGAGAGATGTGAGAATACAATTTGAATTTCTACAAATGTGAACCATACTCACTCACACCCTCCTATCTCGTATATATTGTTGACTGCGTTTCATTATAAACTCCGTGCAGTAGTTAGCGAGCTCTTCATTCTTTTTAAATGGAAACGATTGAAGTTCCAACGAAATTCCTCTCCTAAAGAAATGCAAAATATGTCACTACAGACCCTGATTATTGAAAAGTTTCTGCGGATTTTCATTCAAAGACTTCAAAGCTGCTGCGATGAAACATTCTCATCGGACTGAAAAGATACATATTTAAGATATTTCTACTCAGTGCCATAATTATTTTGATTACAATTATGGGAAGAAAGAATTATTTTCGTTTTTCTATTTGCTTAAGTAAAAGAAATGTTCCGCCTTTTAGATTATGCGGAGCGCAAACCGACAGATCGAGTCCGAAGAAAAATAACTCGCAACCAGCCACAGTGACGTAGACAGCCTCATCGCGAGCATTATTCCCATAAACGGCGCTTGTGTTACAATCCTAAGTCCGACTTACATGTAGCAATAACACTTTGGCGCACCCTGCGATAACCCCGATGCTGCCGTCGCCGCCGCGTATGCCAGCGTATATTTATATGGCGTTATCAGCTCACCGCCGACAAGTTCCAAGTAGAGGAATTCAAAACACAGATAAGAAATACAACACAGTCTACAAGTCGTTACAGCGTCGTTGCGCAGCGCCAAGAGCGATTGCTTCCCATTCAAGTCAGTCTCAATTAACGGCTAAAGCTCTAAAGAACCACAAATCCACAGAACTTCATCAACGAAACGAAATTCATCGAAAATGAATTTTCACGAGGCGTCAAAAGTGGTTTTACTAATCGCAGTCGCGTACTGTATACAACTGGTAAATTATAATTTCAAATTCAAAAGGCTCGATGTGACCAAACCACATATGAGATTAATAGTTAATTGAAATATGCAAATGACCTGATGATCAAAAAAGATAGAGAAAGATTCGAAATAAATAAAAGTTTTGTAGGTTAGCAGCGCAGTGACAACAAAGGCTGCGGAACAAGACGTCGACTCCGATACAGAGATATTACGAAAATGCTTGCGCGAAGTCGGCAGCAAAGATTTGGTCGGTGAGCTACAAAAAGTTGCGCGCTACTCRAAATGGACGTCGGAGGAGGTGCCCTGTTTTACACGTTGTCTCGCTTCCAWGAAGCACTGGTTCGATSCGGACGAAAGCAAGTGGAACAAACAGCAGATCGCCGATGACCTGGGTGCCGATATGTACAACTACTGCCGCTATGAGCTCGATCGCTACAATGAGGATAGTTGCGAGTTCGCATACACTGGCCTGCGCTGCTTGAAACAGGTACCGAGTAATTTATGCCCAGCACTTTTATAAAAATAATAGATTCATTTGGTGGATTAGTTCACTTTTTGAAATCTGAATTACTTCCCATTGAAAAGTATCTGAAGGAATCACTCAACCGAATGACTTTCATCAGTGGTCGCTTCATTTCTGAATCGCACTCATGCGGAACAAAGTTCAGGTTCGCTATGTTGAGTTCAAGTGCATTGATAGGAGCGTTGAGTAATTAATCCGATCTCTTAATGATATCTTTTGGAAGCCCTCTGCTGCCATAATTGAGAGTTTGTTAGGTTATGTTACACCTTACGTTGTCATATTCAAATCAGAAGCAAAAGTCTCGACTGCCTATCTAAAAGGCAATATTAGAATCATTACATCTACTTCATAACTTTTAAGTCCGTAGTAATAGATAGTACATAAATATAGAGATTTGTACCGATCCACARCAATTACTTTACTACTAATGTACCCCGTTTACAGGCGGAGCTCTATACTCTGGAAACCTACAAAAACATTGTGAGTTGCGCCAGCAAACTAAATGTCACCATGAAGGAACTACAAAAGTACGCCGCTTTTCCGACCAAGGAAGTTGTGCCCTGCCTCTTTCAATGTTTGGCAGAGAAGATGAATTTCTACACGCCAACTTATGAGTGGAATTTCGATAACTGGGTCCAGGCGTTTGGACCGATGCGCCAAGATCGCACGGCTTCAAATGTCTGCAAAGTGAGTGYTGAGCAAATGAAGACGCGCGACAAGTGCGAATGGATGTACGAGGAGTACAACTGTTTGGAACGCTTGAACTACAACACAGACGGCTCTTATCCATTAGAAAGCACTACACTGAGTGCCGTTATCACGCGGAACACGGCAGCGGCAGTCGAAGACTTAGCAAAAACCTCCTAATTTAGTGGATTAAATTAAGGGGAAGCACATAACTRTATTCACAYATTAATTTCATATGTACAACCAGCGCTTTTTCAGCGAATCCCATTTTATTTTTTAATTTAACTTCATCTTCTATAGGATACCAACAACGTGCAGCTGAAGAAAATAAACGGTAATTCTTACATTATTTATTGTCTTTCTTTCTTTTATAATGAATCGCGCATAAAAACCGAATTTTCGAAAAAATTCATCAGCTTAAAACTAGGGTTTTGCAATCGCAATCGCAATGCCGCATCGAGTTCCTAGTTTTCAATGTAGGTCCGGCGCACAATCGGCCGGTTCACGGATATCCAGCAGGAGAACACGCGATTGGCCCAAGTGCAAGTGTCCGAATCGTGTTCGTTGTGATCAAGACACTTCTCCAGCCCATGTGATACCTTGGCCAAATTCTTTGAGCTCTTCGCAGTGAATTGCGCTATAATCGCTTTCTCATCGAAGCCCTTCTCCTCGGTGAAGAGTCCCATTCTCTCCACAAAGCATTTAACATAACAGTTGGTGCGTTTATGYGCTGGAAACTCATAGTTCAGGAACTTCTGGTAAATGTCTTCCGGGACGCGATACTCCTCATGGCACGCCTCGTGTGCGTCGAGCGCATCTTGAGCTGTACGAATCTGGAATTTGCCTGCAACCTGTTGACGAGAAACCAAGTCCACGTAAGTAAAAACAAACACAAAGCAATAAAAAAGCGTGTAAGACAAAATGACAAATGAAGGGTTTCCAAAAAAAAGATTGCACAAAACGCCGAACAAATGCTTCAGCCTTTGTTATTGCGGCGTTTCTTTTTTCTCATTTTTGTTGTAGACGCTGTGCCAATTTGTTAAAGCGCGTATGCTTTTATGCCTCACGCGTCTTCCACACTCACCAATGCTACACAGGCCAGCAACAAGATCAGCTGGGTATTCATTATTACTTATTATCGATTATKTTTCCACCAACTGTTACACTGTCTTAACGGATCGCAGGTGAGCAAGCGAGCGTACGATGAATTTATGGGTGTTTAGTGTCGTAGCTGACACGACGTACTAAACCAGTATGCAAGATTTTTTCACAATTTGTAGGTGTGTGACTTGAATTTAAATTACTTATAGAAGACAAAACTACCAAGCGCTCGAACGCCGACTAAGTGTCTTTCCCGCTCGGTCTGCTCGGGCTCAGCCTCGGCCGCTTAAGAAGTTGGTTGCGCATTCGGCGACGCAGTCGAGGCAAACAGGCTACGCTGCGACTGGGTGCAGGTTTTCTCGAAAGTTCAGACCATGCACATACATATTGACGATGGCTTTGTGTGCCTGTAATATGCGCCAATCGGGCATACATACACCGACCRGGCGAGTGGCTGCTGACGCCACAGTCACCAACTTATCTGCCAACTACCGCTATGCAGTCAATCACACATCCGAACTGTTGGCATGGCATTTGTACTGACTTGATGTGGTTTCGTCGTATTGCCTGTGATACTCTGGGTTTTTGTTTTATTTATATGTACCATACACCTATTAGCATTCCACCAAACTGGTTTTACGCTTCTTGCTGGCTCTGCGCCCCTTCCAGACGCCGACGCCACAACTATCGCTTTCATTGTCTCTGCGCGAGTCTTCGTCATTGGTTTTAARCCATTATATAATTTTGTTGGTCGCTATAAATATGCTGTTCGTTAAAAATATTCTCTCATTTAAAAGCTCTTGTTTATTGCTCGAAAATTTTGTCTAAAAAAATCAAATCTTTACAGAAACTCGAAGGAAATTCTGGAGATTGCAGTGATTATTGAGATTATTTAGAAGATTTCGCTTTTTGAAAAATCCAACCGAATAGTCCTTTTCGCAGGAGCACATACCAATAATTTACCTAAAGTAACTSAAATGAGTAGTTAAGAAATATTCCTTTGAGTGGTTTTTTACGTAAAATTTAAATTATGTGGGTGAAACAGTGATGCGAAAAGTGAAGGATGAACGCAGAAATATCCCTATTGGTTTATAAATCCCTCACGACATTCCACTCGGCTATTGCCGGTTTCCTCGGATACAAAAACAGATTTTAGAATTAAATATTTTATTATAATTTTTTATTGTTGCAAATAAACACTGTTGCGACGCCAATTGCGGTGACACCTCGGAAAAAAAGATTTGCCCGCGTTGGCATCATAACTCCTTACAGGATCATCTAAAGTGAAARAATACATGTTTTAGTTAAACTCTTAACTTAGATCTTGGATAAAGGAAAAAAACTGGAAATTGGATTCTTGAAAGGCTCTTTTGTTTTTCAAATAGTTGAAAAAAAATATTCATCCAAGTCTGTAAGAATTGTATCTCAAAGACCTGTATMAGATTTCATGAAGATCGGTTGAGTAGTTCTCGAGAAAAACGTTTTTAAAGACGGCACACTTAGCCTAACTAGCCTCGTGCGCACAAGAAACTATTACTCGGATAAACTTGAAAATTTACAACAATATTGTGGAGGTATTATATGTATTAAGGGGGTATTCAACTCTAGAAATCAAATTTTGGGCAGTTTTTTGAATTGTATTAAAAAAAAAACCAAAAATATTTCTACCATCCATTTTTTATGGTGTTGTTTTTTTTGTTGATATCTTAAGAATACAGAAAAAAAATTTTACAAAAAAATATTAAAAATAAAAATAATTAGAGGAGGGGTGGGGGGTGTACAGGTGTCAAAAAAAATGGCGCATTCTGGTCACAATGATCCTGACTCTCCTGGTGGTCTGAAAAAAAAAAAAAAATCAAAAGACTTTCTTAATCAATAAGGATGCTGTTATAGTCCCTATTTCAGGGAACACGACAAAAATCTTTTTTTAAAAATGGCAACTGCCTGAAAATAAAAATCATGTTTACGCTTTTTTTGAAATTCCTGAATTTTTTTAAAATATTAAAAACAAAGGATTAAGGATTATATACAAATAAAGGATAAAGGATTATCTAAGGAAGGTTCGCACAAAATTTCAAGTAAATCGGTTGTATAGAACTTGCCTTTAAAAAAGTGAGTCTATCTAACTACCGCGCTAGGTACTGCGTCACTAAAGTAACTGTAGCTCTTAAAATAATTTTAACTTTTAAAAATCCTTTGGAGGATATGTTCTTAAGGGCCTATACTTTAAATATATGAAAAAAATCGAATTTTTCAAAATTCTAGAGTAGAATAGTTACCATTTTGGCTCTCTGGGAAATGGCTTAATCATCCTGAAAATAAACCTGTGTTCAAACAGATGTTAAATAGTTGGGAAAACGCCTTTTTTCAAAATTCCAATGTTTTTTTCGGTATTCACAGGTATTCACTTAGGTGTAGCCCCAACACCATTAAAAAGGGCGAATGTTTTATGGTGGGTGAAACACAACTTTTCAAAAACGCTATCCTTTCCTACAATGCACCATCGGGTCCACCCAAATTAAATTTGAATTCGTCGGAAAAAAGAATATTTACCGAGTCTGATGCAGCCTAGGTTTGCTCACTCTAGCCACTGCTCCCTAATTCGGGTAATGAGCAGTGGCATTTTGGCTGGAYGTCGCGTTCGTAATCCAAGATTATTCAGGACATTTTGAATAGAACGAATACTTATTTTTCCCCAGTAGTTTCATAAAATATTGAATTAATTGTTCCAGCATGTTTGCACATCCGTTTMATTTGTCGTTCRTGACGTTACGRGATGACGAGATTTTAAATTTTTCGGACCTCCGCGTCCCTTTCTTTGATTTAAAGGATTAAAATTCGTTTATAATTTTTTCAAGACAAGTGGTATTTTGAATAAATAATGACAGTTTTAATATTGAATATTAGAAAATGTTCCACTTGGCTTTTTTCCTCTGATTGTGTGATAAAGACGAATACCACTTTGTTCTGCACTCTGTTCCTCAATTCCCTAGAGTCGGGTAATAGGGCCAAGTCMTACTCTAATTGATTCTGTTTAAAATAATTACAGAAATCTACAAACAATCGAATTTAAATGAACATTTTCGTGTTTACGGTTATTGGCATTTACGGTGAACAATTGGCAGCACATTAGAGGATTAAAGGGCATTAGTCACTTGAAACTCTTGCCAGCACTCGTGATGGAAATATGAGTTCATAAGCCACTTGAGAATTTAATTTGATTTTTGAATAACCAATTGTGCAAATCCATCGCGGTGTAACGACACAAGTTAATATATGCACATACGCACGCACTGCATACACCTTCTCATACATACATATGTATTACTTGTGGTTGCTTGTGAAGTGCGGGTCCGATATCCCATTTACCGCTTAAGTATGTGCATAAAGCGTTTAATAAAATTCTCCGCATGCAACATTGGCTCGCATAACTTTATATGAGTAAATATGTAAAAGGCTTGCTTACACTGGCGCTCAAAACATCGGTAACTATTTTTCAAAAATGCAAGTGACGCAAATACATCTAAACAAAAAAGTATAAGGTTTTTTGAATATTGGGTAGTCGAGTCGAAGTCTTTTCACATTTCTAATCAAACTTCAATGTATTTTTTTTTTTTCCATATTTATAATGAACTTTATTGAACTAAATATGTATCATTTTTATTCCACCTATGTAAAACTTTTCTGATTTCGCGGCAAAAAACTGCCTTCTCTTCAATAAATGTGTTACCCTCGACCAGAGCGATTTCCATCTTTCAGATTGAAATTTCCAGAACAGAAGCGAGCGAACCATTGGTGTGGTGCATGAACTGATACAGCACCGTTTCCGTAAACTTCACAAATTTCATTGGTGGCTACATTGGCATTCTTCCTTTTTGACCAAACTGCTTGATCAGTGTTCTCATGCTGTCGCACTTTTCGTTGGCACTGTATAAAGGTATTTGCGTGAATACTTGCGAACGGCACGAGCACAATAAGTGCAATCGGCCRTGCGGTTTTGCACTTGTGTTTGCTATGCGTCCGCGCGCGTGGAGGTGTGCGCTCGTGCTCCGCGAATAACAATGGATTAATTACATTAAATACAAATTTGCAATATAATAATTAAAAAMCCCAAACAACAACGCGCCGCGCCGCGCCATTGTCAGAGCACACATATGTATGTAGATGCGGGTATGTGTGTGAGTGCGGCGCACATTCATTTCCGTTTGGCCAGGACAATAACAATGCCACGCAGCATAATTGGTTATGCGTTCTTTGGTAATTTAATACACATTAATATATTGGCTCCGCTCGTGCACGCGCGCCTGTGTGTGTGTGTGGGGCAAAAATGCATTAACTCGTAATAAATCGCATGTAATTACAGCTTGTGGCTRCCGTGCGGTCTCGCCCAGCATTTAGAGCTTTTCACTAAAAATTAACCACAAATTATCAATTTAATAAACGGAAACGCGCGCGACCATTTGTTACAGCAAATAAATTGATTGATCGTTGACATTTGGGAATTAGGCTATTACAATTTTCCACACCGCTACAAGCGCACACGCACGCGTAAATAATTGCGCGATTTAATGAAATGTGCAGCGCTTCGTTATCATTTCGCTGCTCTAATCGGCGCTGCAGTAAATAACACCGCGCGCGACGCCAAATTATTAATTATATAATATCTGTGTGTGTGTGTGCTCATAATTTACTTAGTCAGTGCCGCTAAATGCTGCCTTTGTGTGCAAATAAAGAAGTCGCCAAAATAAATAAATTCCGAATTGAAATTGAATATTTTCATTTAATTACTTGATTTTTAACTCGCTGCGGTGCAATAAAAATTAATTATGCAAAATTCGGTTTGCATAACCGTTAATGCCGCACRCGGCCAAATGCAGGCCAGCGAATGTGTGCACACACAACGCTGCWTATATTAATATGYATGTGGGGTATATAAAACCTGATTTATGCCTTGCACCTTCGGCGCTGAGGTCACTTCCGTCGCTGGCTGCATTCTGTGTGTCTGGGCCACAATTACTTGCGGAACCGCCGGCTAAACGTTCTGCGCGCCATTTTTTTTTATTTTGTATTCAAATAATAATTTTGGTATGTTCGAAAGAAGAAAGCAGCTTGAAGCAGTAAGGTATTTTAGTCGCGCTGCACTTTGCCAGCGATTTTGCTGAGCTTATTCTCAAAACTTCAATACGGGGGTTTTTCYCGTCGTATTAGCAGGATTTATATATCCGAATAGCTAAGGTTTCTATTGAGGGACT